AGCAGGAAGGTTGGACTAGATGATCTGTAGAGGTCCCTTCCAACCTTAAATATTCTTTGAATCTGTGAATCACAGATTAAACTTTGTGGCAAAGGGACCAACTCCTACATCAATGTTTTTTGCTTTTGTCTATAGTTGTAATCTTGAACAAATCTAGTGTATTCAATTCTGGATCTACTATTATGCAGAAGAGGGCTGGTCCTTGACTTGTGCAAAGGCAGCTCCCATGTTGAGGTTGTGGCAGATGACTAACAGTGGTACGACTCTGAGTGGGAGTTGCAAGTCAATTCAATCCTTGCTCAAGGGAAAAGGCAAATGATCAAGGGGTAAAAAGCAGGTAGCTGTTTGACCCAATTGCATTTGTCCCCCAGCTCCAGACTGCTATAGGGCCACAGAATCCATCAGGAGTTGTCTTGTGCAGAACAGTTTCTGCAGAAATTCCTTTCCCCGTGGTCTTCAGTACATAACCATGTGGGCTATATGAAGACCTGCAGCTTCAAAAGTGCAGAAGTCTGGTCTCTACAGAGACCAGCACTATAATCCTGGAAGAGCGTGCAAGACTGGAAATGATGATACCTAAAGAGTTAAAATGAGTAGCATAGCTAATGCTTCCTTTGCCATAGCATATCATGATGACTGAAAAAAGTATTACAGGACTGGGAGCAAGATCTATTCATGGGTGAATAAACTACCACCTCTTACTCCTGTTGTGATACCTTTCTCCCCTACTTTATCAGCTTTGTCTAACTTCAGCTGACTGAAAAGAAAAATCACATCTTTGGTATGATCATTATTCTATGTCTCCTGCACATATCAAGATGTGTGATATCATATCCTTGGACTTGTTCGAGAACTTCTCTGAACCAGGATGCTCTGCCTACTGACATTGCACAGAGTATTATAGAACTGCATGACTCTTGTAATACATTCAGCTCCCTCTTTTGTCACTTTCTTCCTGCATGCCAAAGTAATGTGTGATATTCTCAAGTGTGGTCCTATGAAAGCACTAGGTAGAGAAGAAAAGCGACACAAACTATTGAAAGACAACCCCAGTAAGACTACATTAAGCAACTTATTTCCCAACCATCTTATTTCTCTTATTTCTGTAGGAATTTGTCAAAGGTATATTGTAAGAACTACAGTATTTCCATGCAGGTGCTATCAACCTGTAACTGAGCAGATGTCTTCCTACTCTATTGTTTGTTTGTTTGTTTACTGCTTCAGAGCTGGCTTTGTTCACATTGAAGGCTTTTGACCATTACCCTTTACTGAATTCCTATCTTCAGGCTTGTTTAGCTGACATCTCTCTGGCAAACACAGCCTTAAATGTGCTCTATTAGACAGTAAGTTGTGAGGAACAGTGGTGCTGTAAAAATCTTATATTGTAGAGAGAAGAACTGCTTTTAAAAAGGCATGTTCATATTAAAAATTCACAGCAGCACACTCCACTCCCCCATTATAGGTAATTACAGAGGATTTTAAATATCTGATGCTAGCTGGCAGTATACAATACCCTGTCAGCAGCAGGCACTGATTTGTAATTTAATTATCATAAGACATCCACCTGTTCTTTTGTCAAATGAAGACTAGTATTTCCGTGCAATCATGCTTTTACTTCCAGAAATGTGAATTAACCCTCAGAGAAAATGCTGGTTTCTAGGGTACCGGGTAATTTCAAGGATATTTGCAAGGCCCCATCAGGACAAAGTGATGGAGATGAATGGAGATTCTTGCAGGAGTTTCAATTCTGGTTTGGTATTTTCTGCCTTCCTTTCTCCAAAATTTTCCTTATCTCTAGCTTTTTGCTGTGTCAAGCTGCTTCAGCTTAGTGTGAACAGCTGAAAGCATTTCAGTCAGGAGCTGCTGTGGGAGGAGAGATGTAGGAAAATCAGTGAGTTGGGTGCTGTGAAGACATGAGACAGGCATAAAAGAGAATTGATCTAGAAATGCTCTAGTCGTGTAGCTGGTGAAAAATGAGAAGGTTGAGTTTGGGGGTGGGAGGGAGGTAAAGGGAAATGGAACAGGAGAAAACTGTTCTGCAGACTCATTCATGGATATTATCTGATTTTTAATGGGAACATTCAGTTATCAGCTTATCTATTTTACTTACAAAATATGGGAAAGGCTACAGTGCTCAGCTACAAAAGTGTCAGGCTTTTTAGTAGTGTCAGGGAAAGCCAGTTTCCTCTGAGCCTTTTCTCTCATTTGTGCAAAGGCTACATTGCAGTGCTGGGATGGGGAAAAGGATGCAAATTACCAATGGATGCAAAGGAAATGCTGTGGCTTTAATGCCACCCTGTGCTGCTTCTTGCTCTGTAAAACTGCCTAAATGATCAGGCCAAAGCTCATTACGGCTTCTGGCATTACTGTCTCACCTCTTGAGATGGTTGCTGCACATTTTCAACTTTGCTGTTTTGCAGTGTGATTGAACGACTCATTCTGCTGCTATTTCTCAAACTCATGTTTTGGTAAATTGTTCACTCTAGATAGAGTGTCTAAAAGTAGTCATATTTGTTTGAAGGAGTACTCAGTGGATTCAAAAAATAATTGATTGTTCAAGGCTGAAGTGATTTGTGGCCCAAGCCTTTAGTGTGACATTGGTTGGAATACTGTCAATTAGATGGATGGCTTCTTGCCCAAATAATACTTGCCTGGTGCCAGTCATTTTATAGATTCATTAATTCAAAACAAATCATGTCATACATGTATTCTAAATATAACTGACCAAAGCTGAACTAGTATTATATATTGAAGTCAAGGTAGGAATAAACTGGAACATTTTCCTTTAAAAGGATGAATAAATGGATTAATTTCCATTTATTATGGAATAATAAATTCCATTGCAGATGAATTTGTTATAAATTAAACATAGGAGTAGTAGAGAAATATTCTTTATAATTGATTTATAATCTTGTGACCATTTCTGAACTTTAAGAATTCTTAATTTTCTTATTTGACCGTTCATTACTGTAAAAGACTTCCACCTCTGGATTTTCTCCTTTAATCTATATCTTTTCTCATTAATAGTTTAGCACATGGCTTCCAGCTGAAAATATTTACAGTATTACTACATGCTGCTCTCTTTGTGACAAAGATTTATGACGCCCCATTCTAATTTATATTCTGTTCTGTTCCTTATGCAATGCTCACGGCTATAATGTCAGATCGTCCTCCTCCATTACGTTCAATAATGTGAATTTGCATTTCTCACATGCTATACATTCTGTAGTCTTCTCCCTCCAAAGAGCAGTATGAGAGCTTGCACGTGCTATCATGTTTTCAAAAAGTGCTTTAACCCGTGATTCAACCCAATGTTCCTGTATACTAGAGAACGTCTGTAGGCATCTGCTCACTGCTTGATCAGACAACTGAAATAAATAAATAGACTTCTGAAAAAGGATGCAGATCCTCTGCCCAAAGGATAGGTCTGATCCCCTAATTTCTACTTTTAAGGTTAGAATTATGTTTCTTGTTGTTATAAGCAGCTTTTTGGACCTTGAACAAGTTGTTTTCCTCTTCTGTTTTTTATGTTACTTCTCTGTGGAATGAGGAGCTATAATCTCTCATCTCATAATTTTAATCTATAAGAATTGTAGCAGAGGTAAAAAAACTTGTTACCAGACAGTAAGTATCTATCTTGCAGTAGCTCTGCATCACTTTGCATGTGTCTACTCTGGTATTTGATCCTCAGATAATACTGTGCTGAATGGAAAACGACTCAAACATTCCGGAGGGAAAGGCATCCTGTAGAGGATGTGAATATGTGAAATACCAGGTGACACTGAAGCTGAGTAAATTGATATGYCTTTTTTTTTCATTATTAAGCCCTACTAATATGTCATCTGATATCTCTATCTGAAGGTAAACACTTTGTTTATCAGTGTGATGTAGCATTAATGTTTTATCTCTTTGATGAAATGTTAAAAACAGAATGRGATGTTCCTCCCAATACAGATAAGGAAATTCTAGGGTTATATTGTCTAATGTCTTACAGACATTATTTGATGTCTTACCTTATATCCCAGATTTATGTATATACATAGGCATTGTTTTCTCAAATTTTATTTATTCTTGATTTCCCTTTTTCAACTAGAAATATCGTTATCAAGATGAGGACGCACCACACGACCATACTTTGCCTCGATTAACCCATGAAGTGAGAGGCCCCGAGCTTGTTCACGTCTCAGAGAAGAACTTGTCTCAAATAGAGAATGTCCACGGATATGTCTTGCAGTCGCACATTTCTCCTTTGAAGGTAGGACTGATACTCACTTTGGCTTTGGTCCTCCTATGGAGATATCGTGTAACATGAAGATGTCGGAAAACATACTTGTTGTTTGAACGGATTGTTATTTGAAAGGTATTAGTGCTGTTTGATCATTTTGTGTCGGGTTTTTAAGGCTTGATGTAGTGTAATGGATGATAATTTAGCTGGCATAGCTTTGTATTGAGATATGATGGCTTGAGCAAAGGCAGTCCTGGCAAATGTGTCGTTTTCCTCTGTATTTAGAAAGGAATAACACAGGTTTCTGGGCCTCGATATTGTCATGATTTTGGAATGGCATATTCCTTCTCTTCTTGACTATCTTTACTTACATACTGAAAAAAAGTGTTGCAATTGTAACCTGTGATGTAATCCTGTCTCTTGCATCCTTCAAAGAACTATGGCAAAGTCATAAGATGTATTATGAAAAGGGAATTCATTTGCAGCTATTCAAATCTTCACTACCCATACATTTCCTTTTCTTTATTTTTTGGTCATGATTTTACAGTGATGTAGATATATCACTGTGTCAACTAAGCCAATTATTTAAAAAATATAGGTTTGTGTGTGTGTTTATGTCAGGTTCCCTGTGGTATACGTGAATTAAAGCATCATAGATGGAGAGAAGAGCATGATGATTTTCTTATTAGTTGTTATTTTCTGCCAACCCTGAGAAGTTAAATAAATAAATAAATAAATAAATAAATAAATAAATAAATAAATGAGACAGAGAGAGGGAGAGGGATAGAGAAGACAGAATGGCACTAGTAGAGATGATGAAATTCTGGATAAGAGATTTGTTCAGGCAATTATCTAAGCAGCACATAAGGCAGTTCTGCTTTGCTCCTTCTGGTGCTCAGAGGTTGTGAAAAGTGCTTTGCTTGCCTCATACAGTAACAATAGTGTCRTAACAAGTGAAGGAAAGTATTTATTATTAAAGATTGATGTGAATGCAGCTGGTGTTCATTGAGCCTTTGTGGATTAGCCACATGAATTAATCTTTGTCCTAGGTTCTTGTTAGCTTGTGTAGTTTGTAAGCAGTTTGTCTTTTAATATTTTGACAGCTTACCAGGTCATCTAGGAAGGGAATGCCTCTATGTGGCTTGGAGTAACCTGAGGGAAAAAATCAGACAAAATAATTTCTTGCCTGGAAGAAATGTATTCCTGATGCTCAAGGGCTCCTTTGAGTATTAACATTATAGTGGTGCTTCTTATTCATGAAAGTCAGAAACAGATGATATTTTGCTTCACAGAGGCAGACTTCCAAGTATGGCTGCATGATCCAAGATGATAACATAGCGACAGTGGTGGAAAACTTGTTGTGAAGTGAGGAACTAGGGTTTCACCAGACTTCTGCAGCTTTTTTAAATGGCTACCAGTCTGTGTTCYTATCAATAAAGTGCACACAGTTTTCTGAAGCCCAGGTAGAAGAGGAGCTGTGCAATATTTCCACATGAGAATGAGTTTCTCAGTATAGAGTTAGCACTGGAGGCCTGAGTAAACCTTGTGCTAGAGCACAAGACATTGTGATGCTCTGCTCTTGCCTGTTCTGAAATACCTGCTTTCAGTTCACTCTTTTTTTCTTTCTTTGAGGGGAGGGAGGATTCTCACTGAAATTCCTATAGAAGTTTTTGTGTCTGTGAGTTCTGCATATTTGTGAATTGCCATTCCAAACTCTTCAAGACCCATACAGAATATGTTGTACCCATGAGCTGCAGCACTTCCTCCCGACACTCTGATTTGTTTGGTATTCTGGTATGTTCTCAGCAGGACCATCTAAGCATCACGACTGTACCAAGCAAAAGCTAAYAGTGAAGCATGATGCCTCTAAAACCAGAGTGTTCCTCCTAGGGAAATGCAAAACACTCATTTTTAAAGACTTGATGAATGTGCTTGCCATTTAACTACTTTGTTGTCTCATGTGAGAGATGGAGCTGTTGGAATCCTGCTCTGAGGCTGCTCAACAAATGCTAGGGCTCCAAAGTCAGCCTGTCAACCTTAGTCCCAGGAGCGAGAAGACATTGAGATTTGCAGTGGGTTAGAGCTGTCAGGAGACTCCACCGAGAGCTGTTCTCACTGAAAGGGTTGAGCCGTTCTGCCCCAGTTTTGTGAATGCAGGTCAGAACATTTGGTGCAGAGGGAAAACGTGTAACACAAGGCCACAAGTTAGCGTCTACCAAGAGGAGGGATCACATCAGCTCCTGTGTCAGGAGAGCTGTGTATCTGACAAGGAATGTGACCTGTGCATGCAGGACAAGCAGCACGATGAATCACTGTCCGAGCAGGGTTCAGGTTTCTGGCTGAATTTGCCTTTCCATGACCAAATTTCACACAGGGGCGTGCAGCACTAAYGTACATCTCCAGAGAGATTTTTGAGACAGTCGTTTGTGCTGATGGAATGATTCATCCAGGATGCTTTCTTTGAAAAAGAAAGTGTTTTGAGGAGGAAAAAGTGAAGTTTGTTTAAGTTAAGCTAAGCTTAACCATGCATCTGTGATCTTTTGGGAAGAATTCTGCAAAGGTGATACAATCTGCTATCCACCAGTGTGGCTAGTCTGAGCACCCATAGCCAACCAGTAGCCACAACCAACTCCGGAAGCCAAGAATGTTGTGCCCTGTCTGGGCTTCTAGGAAACATCTCAGCATGTGTCCACAAGATGGTCTGACAGCTTGAGTATGAACTTGCCTCAGATTAGTTGGTTTGATGTAGCCCAGAAATATCCCTGTGAAGTTACTGGTTATTGAGCACTTCAAAAAAACACTGGGTTTTGTTGAATTCATAAAATGAATTTTCTTTAAARTTCTCACACCTGTTGTTTATGTTGGATGATCTGAAATATCATTTCATCTCTTCTGAAAATCTATTTGAAACAATTGGATTTGGGTCAGTTTTTTTTTTAGCTTTTCTTTTCGGAATGTGAATATGATTTCTGATGTGGGTGGGAATATCTTGTGATCTTTCTAGTCTCTATAGTCTGGTGTGCACAATCTGAGTTACTTCATTTTGGAGGAAAATAACAAGCAGACTAGTTTTGCTGAAAACTAGAGCCTCTTTTGACTTTGATTTTGATTTATGCAACTATAGATTTTTAGCATGAACTTTGCTTTGCATTTTCTTGTAGCATTTTCCATGCACACAGCTCAGTGTTAGTAAATATATTCTAAAAAGCTGCAGGATTCTATTAAACGTAGATCTGCTTAAGAGCATGTAAGGGATAAGATTTAGGACTCTTCAAATTTGAATGTCAAACACAGAAGTTCCAAAGAAAGTTTTTGGTAATGTAGCAGTATGGTAGCAGGTGGGAAATTGCTAACTTTAGAGCAGCTTTGAGACTGCATTAGTTAATGTTTTTAAATGCTTTTTTGCAACTTGCAGAGGTGAGGAAAATGTGTTTTCTTAGTCTTTTAAAGGAAAAAGCGTGCTGAGAATCCAGTTGAAAATAAAGCTGCAAAGCTTTCTTGCACTTTCTCCCAYTTGACACTAGATGGTGCAATTAGCCGAGAATCTTTTGATCAAACGCTTAAAACCTTGGGCAATCTGTCACCGAGGGCTTCAATAGGTGGGTTAGAAGGTGCTAATTCAGTAAAAAATGGCTAGTTAGAAAGCAGGTGAGTCCTTGACATGCTGGGACATGCTCGAAACTCCTCAGTCCTTGACATGGTGGGAGTTTTTCTGGATAGAGAACAGCAGTATCTGGATTTCAGACATGTGGGGATTGCCSCTAAATGAAGTCTTTCCCTCTGTGCCTTCCTCTGAGAAATGGAGCTAATCAGSGTTCATCAAGCAAGACCAAGTTCTGTCTTCTGGTTGAACCTTAATAGTACTATTGGAAGGTTATATTTCCTGAGCTTATAAGGATCTTTGAGTCTCTTAAGAAAAGCTTAGAAGTGAAAAGTATCTATGATCTCGCATTTCCTCGACAGCTCGAATATTTTAAATGTCAGGTTATCCCCAGCCCTTATCCTTGTTCCCTGCGGGGTAGACACACATCAGTGGTGTTTGGGTGAAAAGGAGCAGCGAAGTTATTGCTACTATCTTAGCCTAAGATAAATTTAAAGAAGAAAAGCTTTTATTTTGTTTTGTTTCTGTTTATTTTTAATGTGGAGGTTTGGACATCTCTTCAGGGGCCTCCTCTTTAATGGTCCCACTTTTCAGAAGGGAAGGAGTCGCTGCAGAAGCTCCTCCTTTTCTTGCTGTTACTCGGTGCTGCTGTAGCTCATCAGGGTTCCTGATATGTAAAAGAAGTCAGGGCTGATTTCTGATTTCAGTGGAGAAAGGAGGGGAAAAAAATCTCCAGATGGGGCAAATAGGATTGGATTTCATTTACTAGAGGTCTCCGAAATCAAGATTACATGTGGATGGCCAACTGTATAAATTGCTTTGCAGAAGTCAGAGCATTTGCTTCCCCCATTGCTCTCATTCCCTTTACTCTCTTTCTTTGATGGTGGCAAAAGGCCCTGCTATGTTATTTATTAGAGATTCTTTGTACCCAGTGAGAAAAGATGATGTCACTTGACCATTTTTTTCTGCTCCAGGTCGGATGATTCCCCTTGTCAACTCCTTTCTTCTCGTGAGCGTGCACAGTGCCATTTGCATTCCCATCTTTATCCTTCTGATCTCATTTCTGAGAGATCTCCTTCAATTTGGCATGTTCTTTTGCTGTCTTTAATGAAGCAGCTCTCTGCATCCTCTCCAAAGCCTTTCTGGTCCAAATGTGAGTCAGACCTTACTACGGCATGTGCTGTCCTTTCTCTGACAAATTATCAAGGAAAGAGAAAGGAGGCCGTGATAATGATAATGGAGGATTAATTAACCTCTGCAAAATGTCTTCGCCTGAGCTTCCTGACCTGTCCTAACAAACTGCTTTTTTTTTTTTTCTTATTTTTTTGAAGTCTAGAAAAGTAGATTAGGTGGAAGCCATTTATTTCAGGATTTAACATTGATTCCAAAGAAATTACTTTTTCAAAATAAAATTTGGAAAAATAAGGTC